GATCGCTCACCGCAAAATTCTTCGTTTCACGTGCACTAACGCGATTAACGTTCGAGTAATCGAAGCTCCAGTCTTGCAGTACGCGCAGGATTTCGAATAGGCAGAGACGCGTGATTCCGGGAAGGTTGAAGGGCCAGTCTGGCTTTCGAGAATCGCGTCTGTCCCCGTCGTCGGCATCCTTAGCGAGGCGCCAACTTATCTTGACGAAGCGGCGTCCCTTGATCCGATTCCTCAAACTAATTACGAATTTAATAAAATTCTCCCTCCCGTCTGTCAGCCAGCGTGAAGAAGGGAATCTCTTCTGCGCGGCTGGTAAAAAACGATGTCCCTAAATAGACACGTTATGCTTGCTTGGATTAATATTACATTTAGGCAAATTAATTATCTACAATCTTGGATTATTATACATATGCATTGTTCACTCTCCTTTGGTCTTCGTCCGATTTCACTTTTACAAGTGCGACAGTTAAAATTACGATAAGAGATGGGAGTGTGTATTTTTTCTTTCAAGTTTGGATGATAAAGACATCTGTGCGTTATTTTTTGCAGGTGGTTCTATTGTCCATGCACAAATACAACCCACGAATTTGGATCATTCGTTGCGACGATGCGACCAGACTGAACGATCTGTACTCTCATCCAGCTTCGTCGTTCAGATTCAACGAAACGGAGTTCATTGCTGTGACTGCTTATCAGGTAAATCCTGAAGTACTGAACCGGAGATTAAAATAAATTATTAATTAGATAAATAGTACATATTGCAAAAGAAAAGACTTCTGCGAATAAAGATTTCTACTTAAGAAATAAAACAATATTGAACACGTCGATGTGCTTTCCCATTTCAGAACAAGAATATCACAGAACTGAAGATCAACAACAACCCCTTTGCGAAGGGGTTCAGAAAAACGGGCCAGAGTCGGTGCAAGAGGAAACTCCACCAAACGGAGGAGGAGAGTCACCTAGAGGACGAAGAGTCTGAGTCGAACAGAGCGTCGAATCACCTGGACGTCGTCGCCCAGAGGCCGAGGACCGCGTCCAGCGAAACAGGAAGTCTCGACGACAGCGGTATCAGTAGCTGCGGGGGTGTCAGTCCACCCTTGCCCTCCATTCATAGAAATTCACCGTCGAACGAAGTCGAAACGCAACCACGATTGCACAGGCCGTGGGTGGATTCGTCGCCACAATTTTCGTCTGCCGTATCCTCGAGATTATCGCCTAAGTATGACGATCTTCCAAACCTTCCTGTGAATCGCTTCCGCCTGTGGCATCCCTCCCTCGCCATGCAACCTGATTTGTTCAGGTTACAGTATCAAACGTTGCCACAGTTCTCCAAGTATTTTTAGTAGTGTCGTAAGTATCACCTTCCTTCTCTGTCGTTACAGACAGAATCGAAACGATTTCTTGGCTTGTGCATCTATAAAATTACAGACTTAGTATGGTCTGACTGTTTATATATAAACGGTTATAGGAATTTTATAGCGTTTTGGACATTGGAGGGTTATTTTTAGGTACAGAGAAAATCGCTAAGTGTACAATGATACGACCAACAGATTCCTAGAAGATGACCGATGGAGGTAGAAACTTTCGTTTTTTCTTTCTAAAATATTCAACGAATAAAGGGATGACTTGTGCGAGGCTATACTAAGTTTGTGATTGAATAGAATAATTGTAAGATTAACCCTGTAAGTAGAAATAAAAAATCGTCCATCGAATGGCTCAAACCACGGACGACGAACCAAAGATTTCCTGTACACGTATAGGCGACCACGAATGATTCATATCTATTTTCGTTGTGCTCTAGTTCTGTAAAAATGTAAAATTAGGTGGGTATTCGCGGGAGAGATTAGTGATTTATGCGTGTTAAAAAAAAATATTATCTAAGCATATGAATGGTTGTAATAGTGAGAATCAGCTTCACGGTAACTGTTGTAGCGTGCCGAGGCTGTAAAGCGAAATAATTACAAATTTTATATTCGTCAGATATCTCCGAGAAATCTGTTTCTGAAAGAACGCACTTCTGGCAGGTGTGTTTATAACGTTTCAGAGAGCTTGTTGAAAAAACGCAGTGCCTTATTCCAGAGTACTAGATGGAATATTTTTAAACTTTTATTTTTTTGTATGCAAGATGAGCGTGTCCTGTATGTATTCTACTATCAACGAAAATGACCAAAGATGTTTCCAATGACTTTTCTACTGTTTGGAAGGTTTCCTCGATTCTGATGTTCCAACAGATATATTACGAGCTTACCTGATTTTGTACATTTACCGAAGAGAATTAGTACACTCGGTTTATTTTGAACAATTAGCAATAAATAAGAGTGAACTACGACGTCTTGAAAAGTGCTGCGAACAAGTGCCTAATATTCGAGATTTATTCCACACGACTGTGTAAATAAGTACAATAATAGTGCCTATATTACTAACGTAATTATTATTGTTATTAGCGATCCGTGGTTCCTTGGCATGGTCCAAACGGCGAAGAGCATGCGGAAGAGTACAGTCTGCCAGTATTATACGCGCTGTATTATCTATATCGTAGTTAAACATTGTGCATTTGTGCATACCGTGTATATGATTGAGAATTTAAAGAAAATATTTTTATGTACACTACCGTTACTTAAGATACATAGTCTAAGGGAATCGACGATTTTTCTACTGTGCGTTATCGTTGTAATAAATTACGTTTCACACGAATTAACGGTAATTCATTTCTTCGGGCAAGGTCGTGTCAGTTCCTATTAATCCTCTACCTGGTTCATTTAGGATCACTTGGTATTTCTATTTGAGAAATAAAATAATATTCAATAAGACATAAATAGCTATTGGATTTTAGTATGTTGTCAAGCAAAGTCATTGACTTGTTTTCACGTGGACGATGAAGACGGCATCGAGTCACCTGGTCCCCAAGGTGAAACAAATAAAATATTTATCAACAATGATGAATGCTAAAATAGGTTCTCTTTTTAACGTATTATTGGTATCGTCAGCATTTTCCAGTATATAACATTCTTTGGCGGGAGGAGAGCGTTCCCTGGAGGAAGGCATCGATATTAGGCAAATTTCGAAAACCACGGTTCTCAAGTATCCGCAGAGACACGAGTTCGTCTCGTCGAAGATCGTGTCGCGTCTACCCGTCGCCTTTTCGAGGATCCCGCCGACTTCCAGTATCGATGTCTCTCGAAACACTCAAAATCAGCGGGGCGCCGGTTCGTCGGCTACTCGACGACGTCTGGATACGCGAACGAGCTTCCGTATTACGATAGGCCCTCTCCATACCGTTCCCTTTCAAGTTTTCCAGCGAAATTGCTCGTAGTGATGCTTCTCAGCTAGTTTTTGTGGAACTGCCGACTCGTGAGACTATCGAAACTGGTATTGTTATGACAAAAGGAACGGAAGTCGGACCCGAGCTGTTTCGCGATGATTAATCGTCGAACTTGTACAGGAGGCATTACTCTATTTAAAGCTTCGAACTACTTTCTTCTTTGGAGAGCTGTCTGACTCTCGAGAACGTCGAAAGCTTTGATATTTTAATTGTTCAGTAGTAATTGCTTGTAAATAGCGATTGTACCTGAGAGTATCGAGAATTTTCGAAAGCATTACGTGTATATTATGCCTATGTATCTTAATATACATACCACGGAAAAAAACCAGTTGAGAATGACTTTCGATCATTGATCGAGGATTTAAATATTTATGAGGTAAGAGGTAGGGTAATCTCGGATTAAGAAATGTCTAAAAATTCATTGATTTGGGTGAGATCGATGTTCACGCAGAATCGAAGGAAATTTCATAGTATCTGAAATATTTGAAGACTAATGCAAGTACATCGTTCGTTTGTACACGGTATTACAGACGACTTCAGGACATTCATTTAAAAACGTAAAAAGCGATCAGAGAGATTGCGCTCCGATTTTCGCGACAAATCGTGTCTCATCTATGGATCGAAAAACGGTTGTCCGGTCAATGGACACTGTCACGAATACGTTTATGGTCGGTTCAGTGGAGCGGGTAACGGGATCGATCGGTCGGTACATCACGAACGCGAGATCTTTCCGGACGACACGTACCGTGTCTGAATACGCAATCGCATTCCTGGTTCTGACTGCACGCTTCGCGGTACCGTACGAAGATCCACTTGCCCTGGAACACCTGTGCCCGTCGATTAGTTCAGCAAATCAAACTAAGTAAACACCGTGTCACCAGTGCGATGGTTGCAGTTAGGAAACGTTCGAACGTTTGAAGTAAGTTTCGACACAAAGGATGACAAAAATCTATGTCGACTGTGTGGCAACAGGAGGCATAATTTGTTTATGTTCTTCCGACCCTTCGGAGAAATGAATCCGTAACGTATCTACGTAAATGAAGAATATAATATTAGTCGTAAAATGGTATACGAAAGATTTTGGATGTTGGAAATCAGATGTAACAGAAAAAGAAAAGTAACGACCCTCGGGGGCTGTAGCTACGTTCGATTGTAACTACAGTACGGGTTTAGCAATCCTGAGGTAGCCGAGCTAGTAGGAATCGCGTATAGATTGATGTTAAATAATCGTCGAGACTGAATTGTAAAAAGTAAAGGAGTTCAAAAACGAGGAGCAAAACTCTTAGAGAAGATAGTACAGTGAGATGGTGGAACAACCGGAATTATGTTATAATTTCAGTTTATGTAAGGCTTAAAGTTCTGGGAAACATCAGTCCAGAATTCACTATATTGCGAGTGAAAAGGTACCGAAAGACGTCTCAAGAGTTCATTTCGATAGCGATTGCTACGGCAGTTTCTCTTGTTGAGAAACAGGATTTAAACCTGGCATTCTTGGTATTGGTCAGTTTCTCTTGTCAGGAAAAGAAATACAGATCTATCATTCTCGTGCGTGTATGAATTTTAATGAGAAGTCGTCGAGGTATGCAACGCTAAACTAAAGGGACACTTTAAACATCTACTGGTATAAAATCGAAATTTTGTTCCCGTAACTGGAGAACTGTTGATTTCCAGGCTCATTTCGTTTATTTTGATAGGTATCGTGCGTAGGTACTCGATTTAGGTACACTAATTTAGAGTACTGCCTAATTTAGAGTATAAGACGTTATTTTATTAACTTAAGGTTTAGTTATGCTGTCATAAAAACTCATTGTACGAGTGTTAAAAACGGATTTCTCTTACACTACGAGCATTACTCAGATGATGCTTTAGTGTTAATTGGTCACTGATCGTCTCACACTTTGTACACAGGCTTGTAGTCCACCAAGAGTCACGTCGTGCCTCAACTCGGAGCTCACGTATGCTATCGACTTTCCATCAGACGAGAGCTGCTAGAGGTCTAGCAGATGTGACGAAAAAGGTTGTCTTATATTCGAGAAACAGTCGGTCATGCAAAGGTAAGAAAAATTCTTAGCTAAATAAATAATTCCGAAAAGCAAATAAGATACAAATTCGAATTCCTTATAGATTGAACAAAACGGTAGAATAAATATAGAACGAGTAAATCCAGAATGGATAGCTAAAGATTACTATACATTGGCTTCATCTACCACTTATTATCCAAACGAAGCATCTGCCCACCTCTGTCCCCGACAAAGCTCTCGTACAAGGGGAAGTCAACAGTCTAGCCTCTCGTCAACATTAGAAAGAAACAGGCTTCCTGTCCGGCAAGCAGCATCTCGGGTCGCCCCGTCCGTTTCCGTACTTGGGACAATAAGGGGGATGCTTGCCCGTGTAGCAGAAGGACCCCCTGGTCCCGATCGGCGTGTGCTGTCCCATGGGCACGTACTCGCCCGCCCTGGGTGCGATCCTTGGCCCGGAAGGGCACCTCCTCGAGCAGGGCTCCGCCATGGACTCGAGACCGCCGTTGTCGATGCTCTGCGCCATGTAGCAAACCACCCAGACGTGGCTGCACAGCTGATCGTTGGGCTTGTCCTCGCAGAACGGCTGCACCTTGCCGCCGTTCACGCAGAAGTCCACGTGGCCCATTCTTCCGCTCTCCCCGTAGTAGCCAGCGTTGGTGTGAATCACCTCGACAAAGTCCGCGTCCCCGCTGTCCAGACGATTCACGTAACCAGGGCGCATGAGAGGCCTGGCCGGGTCCAGGCCGATTATCCGATGCATCCTGAAGAGAAGAAAGTTAGCCATGATGCCGCAGACGTGGGCGCCAAGCGAGTGTCCCACGCAGGTCGTCCTCGAGATCGGCAGGCCCAGGTTTCGCAAGGTGGTCAAGGTGCCTGCCAAGCAACGAGCGACTGGACGAAGGTTAGCCACGGCTGCTGGGTAGCAGGGTGCCGCGCACAGGGCACCCCAGTCGACCAGGAACACGTTGTAGCTGCCGTTTCGGAGGTAGGCGTCGCGCAGCACGGAAATCGGCAGGGTGTCGTCACCGCCTGGAAAACGCGTGGGAATCTCGGTAAGTGGCTTCAGGTTGGGCTATGTTCACTTATACACTTATGTGGATGATCGCGTTAAATTTATGACTGTTCTGATCAATTCGTTTCGAAGCTACTAAGCTAGTTACGTTTTCGGTGCAATTAGGTGACTCGAGATCAAAAATGTAATTTTTTGGATTAAGTTTTAGGTACAATCACAGCAACTGGTGTAGTTTACGTCGTTTACGTAGCTATAGCGGGTTATCGCTGACGTAATTATATGCCATTTTGAAATCTGCAACTGGTTGCCATTGACCCAATTGTAAGTAATTCCATACTTATGGGGAAGCGGATGATTTTATGGTCACGGCAAATACCTGGCGGTAAATTCAATTCAAGTTCGTGAAAATGATCTCGTGAATTCGTCTGAATCGTTTGCTTGTGTGGTTTGCTCTCGTTTCCAAAGTTAGGTTTCTCGCGTGGAACAATAACGTGGCTTAAACAAATATGTGTGTTTAACGAAGTTTTCAAGTTTCTTAAATATCTAGTCGTAAACACAATGTCGCAAATATCTTCTTTCGCGTTGTCGTGCTAGAATTCTTGGAACAATCAGCCATAAATTGGTGTAAATTGTATAAATGCTAAAAAGAACGGGCAACTGTTGAAAAACAGTTGCAAAATGCATACTCTCGTCCATAAGTATTAAGTTACTTGATCTTTAAAAAAAAGAAAAATGTGAAATGATATATGCGCTACTTTTTTCGGGAAAATTAGCGCAAATAACTGTTCAAGTTTATTTACCTGGCCTTGTAAGAGGTTGTATGGATATGAACACCACCAGTGATTTAAGAAAATTGTATGGAAGTCGTAAAACAGTATATAAACACCCCGAGGGATCGCGCAGCGTCAACCAGGAGGTGATTGACTGACGTTAATTTAGTATGTATATATGCAGGATAACGACCCAAAGCATCCTGAAAGCCACGGCTAGTGAAAGTAGTCATCGTGATGCGTGGCGACAATTTCGATTTAAATTTTATTCCATTTCTACGGTTGAGATTCTGTTACAATATTAAATATACGTTTCCTTCATTATATAAAATATCAAACGAAGGGTTATTGAGTAAAAGTCCTGTAGTAACTCTGTGACATTTTTCTAAATTCGTTTACGAATCCTAATACGGAATCCTAATCCTAATATGGACTAGAACGTTCGAGTTTTGGGTTACTCTAAACATCGTAATGCGGAAGTAGCCTCTAAAATTGTGAATAAATCCATATAATTGAATGTTGAAGTGACATAACACGTCTGTATTGTTACGAGATTCACGTATTACACGTAGTGGGGAAATATCGGTTTGAATTTTTGTTTATTTTCGTTTCTGATGAGAGTAGGTTATTGATTTTATGTACACAAACGTGATCTGGAGCGCCGACGATAATTGAATGGCATTGATATCTTTGATGCCTTGTAAATTTTTTAATTTGTTGCATCGATTCGAATTTTAACTTGACACAGAAATTCTTCGTAATTATACTACTCTCGTATTGCTGACTATTACGGTACCAATTAAACGCAGAGATACTTAGGTTGTTAATAAATTTTTTTTTAATACCAATGGTGACACACACTAGGACGTAAATTGTCAGATTTGAAAAATTTCGTCAGTCCAAAGATTCGTTAGTCGTCAACCGCAATCCATTTATTGCTAATATCATTTATCCCTCATTTAAACCTTGAATCAGTAACAAGACCACGAGGGGAAGGTCTATAAATCAAAATTTATCTTAAGGTAGCTTCCCTTCAGCCCTAAGGACACCGTCCGACTCAAACTCCCAGTGATTTACTGTCCAACCGCACCTGCGTATCCGTGTATAAGAAGAACGTTCTCCTTGGTCGGTTCGTAATCCTGTCGCAGCCAATCGGACTCCCTCGAGTCCAGTTCGCGTCTAGGTCGATCCTTGGCATAAAAGTAGACCTTGACATCGGGATCGGGACAGGAATCTCGATCGTTTCCTCGCCTCCAGATGCACTTGTCGCGGTCGTACTCCGCCGCGACGCCGCTCTGGATCGCTTCCTGGATCGGGCCAATCGGTTTCTTCGGCAACGCCTGAATCGCAAGGAGAAACGTCGTCAGGAACAACGACATCAGGGTTGAAGGAACCATTTCGCGATACGATACGTTCGTTGGCCGGCGCGATACGACAACTGATCGCGTTCGCGACGATTCTTCGTAGACTGCTTTGTCCTTCGTCGGGCTCCCACTTTTTTCACCTGTCGATGACTGTTAGAGAATTAGGGGATTCGGAAGCTCGAGAGGTGGGGGACGCCTCGCGGATGACCGTCGATAGCGCGCGAATAGCGGCGCGATAAAGAATCGAGTGTCAAGGTCGTCGATCATTTACTCTTACATCGATCGCTTTCGTCGCGATACGATGATGCCAGTCTGTACCATGGAAATATTCCATAGAGGAAATGTCGATTTTTCGAGGACATGAATTTTGAATGTTCCCGGACAAAAAGAACTTGTCCGAAATTTTGAAATTAATATTGCGGCGCCAGAAGTCACGTTAATTTGCTTTTTTTAATTGAGATGGAGAAGTCTGTCCCGTTTAATCTTGTTTAGTAGTTTCCTTTAGTTGCTTCCAACAAGAAATCAATCTCTCTACTGCCAACAAATTCACGAACTACTATGATCAAGAACTCGAATCAACATTTTAAACGTTTGCAGATTAAACGTGTTCAAAATCCTGTAACGACTGATAAATATTTTTTTTTCACGATAAAGACCGCTCATTCTTCATTTAAATCCGTCGAGACCTTCGGGAAACTTTTAGCCTGTAAAGTGACTTTGTTAACATAACTATAGCTCCTTGTTACTTTCTTTTATTCATTTTATATTGACCAACTCGCCCAAGCATTCGAAGGTTACAGGAGTTGAAGTAACGCGAAACGTTAAAATATTCCAGATATACCGGTTATAAAAAACAAAGACGATTTTGTGGGCCTTGGCGATTATAGTGTTCATCGGGAGGATGACAAATGCTTAATCAACATGCTCGAACGTTCGAGTGAGAGCAGAAGTTTTTCATTGACAACGTCACGCATAAACTGCTTACCTGTTATTTCCACGATAGAGTAAGATGTCATTGATAACGATACGATAGTAACACCGACTGCTATACTTTTAATACAATGTTACCGAAACGAACTGAGAGTATCGAATATTAGGTCAGTGTCGAAATTAGTTCCCTTAAAGGTAACTGGAATAAGGAAAGAGTGAATTTCACGGGAAAGTTGCGAAAGTGCATCGGAACGCCTCCAGAAACTCGAATGAGTGGAAATTTATCAGTGGTATTCGCTTCGTGCACTCGCATCGGTGATATATATGTGTCGTAATGTTCATATGAGAGAAAGATCGACGAAAGTAGTGGAAGAGGTGCTAACATAAGGGTGGACTTTCTTCTTTCGCTGTGAAGTGTCTCGAGCAAATAAGAATTCGAAACGTAAGCATTTCGATTTGTAGATTTGAAAAGAGAGAAAACAGGTTTACTCTCGAATCATCGATATGGAGAAGAATTTTGTCTTTTCCGATTAGAATTCGTTTCATAATCGATAAAAAATTTGCAAAACCTGCAAATGGACGTAGACGCTGAGACTAGCAGAAAGTGTGATAAATTTACGTGGCTGTTCGATTAAAACAGCCCACGCTTCATAAACGTTTACCTTTCTGTTCTTCAACCTACACTTTTATAGTTGATTCTTCGTGCCAGAAAGAATTTCGTATTATTCTAACACGAGATCTTTTCATGTCTGTAATTAAGATGAAAGGAAGGATTTCTGTTCATCTAACATTTCTTTCCTTATCACGTTTAGTAGGAAAAACTATCGAATAGGCCAGGGACTACCGGTAGACTGCACGCATCATTGGGTATGGTTATGAGTACGTTGTCCTGAAATCATAAGAATTACGTGGAAGAAACGGTAATTAAAAATAAAGATGAATATGATTAAAGAAAAATGATTGCTTCTTTTGAATGAATAGAGAAACAAGGACACTTAAAAATCTTCCTAAGTTTCACGAGAATAATTTACAGAACAGGTAGAGTGATTTATGAACAATTAACGGTGACGTATTAGAGGTGAGAACTTCGATGTGAAATTGATGACTATTTTAATAGTACGAGACACTCCTTCAATTATTCAGAATATAAATTAGGCGATTATATAGAAAGATTCTTCTCAATAATATTTGTGAATATATCACCATTATAAATATTGGATGACTATCCTACGCATAATAAAAATGGATTTAATATTACATAATAAAGTATCATAGAATGCATAGAATATCTGCTATTTGAAGAGAAAGTTTCAAATTCTGTTGATCGCTATGGGAGTGAAAGTCCCCGAAAGCGCGGGTGGGTAGAAAATGTTTGGACCAGAGAATCTTGTTTACGTTTCCTAAAACGTATTTCGTCAGCTTGACATCATTCACGTACTCGTGTCTCCTTAACAGTTTCAACAATTATGACACTGTTGTGAATTGGGAATAGGATACCATTTAATTTGCATACATTATAATTTTGAACGTGTTGACTTTTTCAGAGTATTATCACTCCGAATATTATCGATAGTAGATCAAAACGAAGATGGACGATAGGATTTCTGCATTCCGTCTGCAGGAAAAGTAGAAATCTATTTTTTTCAAGATTTAGGTTCTGACAGTCTCGAGTTTTGAAAATCGTATCGACATTCTCTCATTTGATCTGATAGATCTAGATGCAATATTTAGATTTATATATTTCAACTGCAGATCTATTTTAATGTGCACATATGTATTGTATAATAAGAATACATCGATAAATTCGAAAGGAAAGATGGTTATTAACCACTAGGCGAAGGCAACATTTTATTCACATAATTGGTGAACGATGAAAACATTGTATAGAAATTTATTTAGAATGTTCATTTCATTTAGCGATTACCACGCGAGTAGGAATTATTTTTTTACGATAAACTTGGGCGTTCCGCCGCCGAGGGCGTTGATCACAGTCGGCGAATTACTTCGACCTGTTTGCCGCTAGATGGCAACCGATACGAACGAACCATTTTTGAACTACTTTCGAAATAAAGGCGCGATAGACAAGCTTTGCAAATTAATTATATAAAATAGCTGTTCTTTACAGACGAGCCTTCGGTAACAAATTATTTCTAAGGAAAACTAAGTGATTCTCAGAAGCGTCTAGAGTTGTCCACGCTGAGTGCAGAGGCTCAAATATTCACTGATATCCATCAAATATCTATTTTACAATTATACGTGTACCTCTTCCTCAAGACTATCGTGTAACCCTTTCACCGATCCCAACTATTTCTCATCCACCTTTGGCATAGTCAGCGACGGAACCACGAACTCATGCCGCGGCTCCCCCATATTTCTCAAAACCGCGACGAGAGGTTCCCCAGACCTGCAAACATCGCGCGGTCTTCAGATTCCATCGCTCTCGATATTTGACAGTCTGGTCCTTCTTTGCTTTCCACCTTGCTTCGATTTTATTCGATTGACCCCGAGTGCTCTTCGAGAAACGCCGCTGCGGAGATCCCAGCAGTCAGCATCTACTGCATCTTCTGCCGTCCCTTTTTATCTTCTCTCCCGGTTCTACCTTTTTTATCCGCATCACTCCCCTGGCCCCCTTCGTTCCCCTTTCTTTCGCTTTATCCCCCTTCGCCCCCTTGTTAACCCCCGTCTCTTCTTTTTCATCGACGTCCAGGACTCTTGGAAAGGCCGCGCGATCTCCGATACCGTCTTCTCGTATCTGATCATTTCTAGTCTTTAAACACACGTACAGCCTGTCTCTCCGCACAACGATTTCTGACGTGGTGTGGAGGTCGGGGTAAGGGGTTGGTTACGTCGCCAGATATATATCATCGAGTATATCACGTTTGCGAGGGTCAAGTGCCACCACAGCAAGTTTCCTGTTTGCCAGCACGAAGGTGTCCCGTGAATATCGTATTCGTGACGCAGTCAGCCCGCCGCCGTTGATTTACGAGAATCTTTCTCCGTGGCGCAATTAGGCGTTCTCCGTGATCCCGCGCGATTTATTGGTGGCGGGAGAGTCGTTGCCCCCTCCCCCCCCCCCTTGGTCTAAGGATTTCACGTTCGTTCAAGGAAAGATCTCTCGCGCTATTGATAAGACAATTTGACGATGTGAGCGCGATTATGGATTTAATCTGCATTGAGAGATCCACTACAGACTGTATTCGAGGGATTAAAGGTACGGTGCGAGTTTACGACTGCGATTAGAATAGTTTCGAAGCGAGATTTGCTTGAGAGTGTTTCTTAATCGAGGAGAATATTTTCTTCTCTAGAATTGATAAGAAAGTGCGTGAATTCTATTCAGTTATTTCATGGATTATTGAATTTAATCCCACGTCGAATATTTTTGCATTCAATTGGAAAGAGCGTCTTTACGACTAGTCGTTTGTTTCATTAACGTCAGTAGTCACTATTTTCCAACACAACCAGTTATTATCCAAGTTCACCAACGTCCATTCAGATTGCCAAAGTATCAGAGTCCGCCGGAGCACATGCTCGGGACTCGGCGCGAAACGTTTACCTTCGCGGTCGTAACTCTTATATTCGACGTATCTCGGCCCCATCGGCGTCTAGATAGAAACAGGTTGCGGGGTCGAACGGTTCGGACGGCAAACATTCTTCCGTGGTTCGAGGAATCGACGTCTCCATTAATTAGACACCGGTCGATCGAGCGTGCGACGGACCACGTCGCCGTCGCAGCCTCCCGTGAAATTGTGTTCTCGCTGATTTACGACCGCGCCATCCGCTCGAGTCTTCGCCCAAACCTGCCCGATCCTCCTCTCGATCGCGTACCCTTTCACCCCGCCATTTTCTCCCGTACTTCTCACGTTCGACCCGTTACGCACTCGTCAGACACCCCACGCGAAGAGCTTTCCGTTCGTAATTTTCGCGAGAGGTTCATCGAGAACGAGGCAACGAGGAATCTGCTGAATATTTATTCGTTAAACGAATACAACAGAGTTTGGATCTAAGTATATTTAATAGTATGTGTTTTACGAAACGTTCTTACGTGTGTTTCGAATTTTTTAATCAGCTTTTTTTTTTTTAGACGTAAAGAAGGCTTTCGTTTTCAAGAAATAAATCTTTAAAACGATTACTCTCGACTGGTAGTTCGGCGAAGGTTTAAAAAGACACACG